TACTTTACGATGTGTGGACCAATCCGACGGTTCTCCAACCAGATTATGATGGAGACTATAAGTAGACCGACTCTGGGATGGATCCTGAAGAGGGGGGGAGAGCAGAGATGGACATGCTCTGAATGCGGTCACCCCAACCCAGTGGACAAATAAGACAAGTAAGTATGACTTTACGATGTCCTCTGCAGTGCCTCACAACTGCATCCAAAGACAACGTTGTTGTTTTTTTCGCGTACCTTCTTCTGTTCACGTTTAGTCCGAGTTTTGAGAGATTTGCAGCAGAGTAATGTCATATAAGTGCCGAAGATTAGAGGTGTTACAAGAGAGTAACAAGCACAAACAATAGGAGGTGGGATAAGGATAATACATGTTGTGAGGCAGCGTGGTGAAATCAGACGCTCGTCAAAGTAATGAAAGTCAAGAAATTGGCATTTTCCCGCAGGTTTGGGAATTTTTATCGATTATTTTGTTTTTTGGTTCAACGCCTTTCATGCTCATTAAAGAGCACATTTTATTTTCTGTGTGGATTTTACTGAAAAACGTTTATTTAAGGCAGAACAAATGTAAATTTTAAGTTTCCACGCACTCTCAAGCTAAAGAAATAACTCAACTTTGGCTGCCATTTTCTCGCTAATTTTACTTCTGAAACCAGGCAATTCCACCTTCTTCAATCGCAAATATCTCGACTTATGCTCAAGATAAATGGATATTTCTTTTTATCGAAAGCAAGGCAAATGAACGACCTTTAAGATAACACCAATAACTTCATCTACCCACAAATTGCGAGCGCCTGTTCCATTGAGCAGTGACACAGTTATGTTTGATAGGAAAGAAGGAGCAAAGCACATCAGAGCACCCATCAACCACCCACATACTTTCTTCCATTTTTAATTCTTTTTTTATAATATAATGAGTATACGACAAATCCTGGTGAAAAAAGTCTTGTTGAATCATGGGGAACTTGGACCGCATGGTCAGAGAGAAAAAAGGAAGGAAATGCATGGTTAAAAAGGCAAAGATAAGAAAATAAGTAGATCTATTCGTGAGGTACAGGTGGTAAAACCAGGCGCTCCTCAAAATAATGAAGAAATCGACGAAAAAAACAACATTTTTCTTCCCGCTTGGAAATTTTTTATCGAATTTTTGTGGGGTTTTGTTGGGGTTGTTTTTTTTGTTGGCCCAACGCCTTTTATATCTATTTTTAAAAAACAATTTCCAGTGTGGATTTTACCAAAAAACGTTGATTAAAGGAACTAAAACAGTAAATTTACAGTTTCCATAGACTCTCCAGCTTTGGAAGTCACCAAACTTTGGCGGCCATTTTTTCGCTAATTTTACCTCCGAAACCAGGTGACCCCCCACTTCCTTCAATCCAAAAAAATCTCCACTTCTATTGGAGACAGATGGGTTATTTTTTCATCGAAAACAAGACAATAAATAAACAAGCTATAAGGTGATACTAATAACTCCATATGCGTTTACAGAAAATGGACGAGCGCCTGATTCCACCAGGTCGTGATACATTTAATACTTGAAAAAAAAAAAGAAAAGGAAAGGCAAAGATAGTTTTTTTGGGTTGTTTTTTTTTTTACGATTCTCATAATATGATACCTGTAGCAACATCAGTATCTGAGCTTTTATGTTCAATCTCAGCCTTAGGGGCCTTTCACCTTTCACAAATGACGTGAGCTCAGAGAGGGGGTAGGGGGCGAGTGGG